ACATTTGTATCTCCTGTATTACAGTGGACCCTGAGACATTAATGGCCATGTACCAGCCAACCACTGTATTTCAGACTAGACAGGAAAAGAAGAACATTGATGTGTATTGGCTCTCTGATGATGGGGGTGAGTTAAATTGATATACAAATAATGTGTTAGTTTTAAAAGATTTTATAGTGGAAAAACGTCTTAATTCATTGTGTCATCAGGTCTGACACTATTAGTGCCTTACCTCTTGACCCGTAAGAAGCGCTGGGGCAGATGCAAAGTGAGGGTGTTTGTTGGAGGTGAAGCTCAGCAGGTTGATGAGCAGAAACAAGAGTATGCATAACCTTAACTGTGATACTTTTAGTGGTGACACTTTATAATACCATGTCCGTGTTAAAGATATTATATAAATATATGCTACCAAAAGTTCAAATGTTTGGGTTGTAAGATTTTTTAAAATGTTTTTGAAAGAAGTCTCTTATGCTCACCAAGGCTGCATTTTCGATCAAAAAAGTAAAAACGGTGATATTATGCAATAGTATTACAACTTTTAATTCTTTTCTATTTTAATCTATTTTAAAATAGAATTTATTCCTGTGATGACAAAGCTGAATTTTCAATCATTACTCCAGTCTTCAGTGTCACATGATCCTTTAGAAATAATTCTAATATGCTGATTTGGTGCTCAAGAAACATTTCTTATTATTATCGATATTGAAAACAGTTGTGCTGCTTAATATATTTGTCGAAACTATGATGCATTGTTTTAGGATTCTCTGATTGTAAAAGTCTTTACTCTCACTTTTGATAAATGCAATGCAAATGTAATGCATCATTTATTAATAAACTTTTTAACAGCAGTGTGTATATGTATGTTTTATTTTAATGATATATTGACAAATTATAATTGTCATTTAATCACATAGTACATACAATTTATTAATAATATATATTTTTATTTTACTTATTAATATATACCTAAAAACTGAATATCTTAATTTATTTAATGAATTTTTACTTAATGTATATTTCATATGTTTATGCTTAAATAATATTTCAATGTTTATTAAAAAGAGCATGCATTTGTCAATTTACAGGCTCAAAGCTCTGATCAGCAGGTTCCGTCTGGGTTTCCAAGATATTCAAGTCCTTCCGGACCTCAATGGAAAACCACAGTCTGACCAGTACAGTTTCATTCCTTCCATTCATGTTACAACTTTCTGCATTGACCTTTTAAACTAATGAAAAGTATATTCTTATGAAAACAAATGTATTTCTGTCCCCAAATGACTGAAACAGCATTAAAAGATTTGAAGATATCATAGCTCCGTATAGAGTAAGTTCATTCCAAAAGGATGGTGAAGAAGCCGATGAGACAACAAAGGAATTCTCCTGGATGGTGTCTGATGAGGAAATGGAAACGTTCAGAACTAAGGTATTTCAAATGATGGTGTTCGGATACGTAGCCTACTTTCTTTATAAGCCATGCATTATCGTTTTAAACATTTTGTCCCATGTTTGTGCAGTCCTTCCGACAAATACGCTTAAATGAAGTTATTCAAGATTACTCAAGAGATGCTGCACTGATTATTGTGTAAGTGTTATTCATACAGTATGTTGTGCCATGATGTCATTTAGATACAAATGATAGAAAACAAAACAGTGATCAACCAGTTTAACTATAAGTTTTTCTCTTATTTTTTTTGTTTGGCAGAACGATGCCCATGGCGCGAAGAGGGGCGTGTCCAAGTGCCCTTTACATGGCTTGGCTAGAGATTGTGTCACGTGACCTTCGACCTCCAGTTCTTCTTGTCCGAGGCAATCAGGAGAATGTGCTGACGATGTACTGCCAGTGAACACCACATTTTCCTGACAAAACTGTTCACACACGTACATCAGATGAAAAGAAACTCAACTTATTAATGACATGTTAAAATCATGACAGATTTACATACGTTCAAATTGTGTTTCATACTTGTTTTGATGTTAATAGGGTGTTTATCTTAATTGGTTTAACCTTTTTTTTTTCAGTATATATTCAAAAATATTCGTTTTTACTGATTTAGATCTTATGTACTTTCTCCCGAAATAATAATTCAAACAAAAGACTGTATTCAAACAATTTCCTCTTAAAACCACAAATTAAGTTTGTACTTAATTTACAAGAATCTTTGTTTATTCTGATTATCAATGATCAAACAATCTGCATGTATATACTTTTTTCTCTCTTTTTAATGACAACTATAATATTACTGAATATATGTAATAAATTACTACTTATGTAAATCTGTTAATTCTAAGAGTGTTATTTTACTTTATGGCACTTAGGTAAAGTTAATTTGTTTAGTCATTGAAAACAAGCTGTTTAACCTACATTCAGTCAAAATCAACTCAATTAATTTTATTTAAATAATATACAACGTAGGTCAGGTATGACGGGGGACAGACCAAAACAATTATTTAAATAGGAAAGCAGACGTTTTATGTGTTTCAACTAGCTACTTTTAATGGTAAGTAAATTTTATGTTAGAAAACAGTTTATTTAATAGGTCTCGAATCAAAAAAACATGGGATTTGAGCCTCTAAAGTGCCTTGGCAGCCTATGTTTCATTCATATTGGAAGCCAGAGGAAGAAAGTCCAAAACGGACTCGTAGAAGTAATAACTTATGGCGTACCAAGTGTTTGTAGTATATGAACAAATCATAACATTTTCATTAGGAAAATATAGGAAAAATATTATAGAATAGGCCTACGAATTATTGGTTATTATCCAGCAGTGTATTTGATTTCTTAGCCAATTAAAATTAAGAGATAGGATAATAATAATAATAATTATAAAACCTGTCAAAATTAGACCCAAAATAAAGTATTATTAAATTTGACACTTCTGTCCCCTTCACTTCTGATATGATGGCTAAGTCACTGTGTATTATTAAATTACCATTTGCCCGTCACTGTATGCCATGGGAGAAACAGTCAGTCACACACAGCAGTAGAGCTGTACAATTTTGGATAAATTGAGAACCACAATTTTTTTGTTTCAAATAGGGATCACGATTCTCCCACGATTCTGAACAGACAACTAAAAAAAAAATAGCATGCTATTTACTAGAGGTTCTGACGAAATGTTAATTGCTGACGTCTACTTATTTTATTTGAATTATTTATTGCAAAATCTGCACCTTGGCTTATATTAATTTAATAATAATCCTTAGCCTACTTCATGAAGTCAAGCAGCAGAAGTTAAGTGACAGTGTGCAAATACTACTGGCCCATTTTTATGGGATTACCTTTGTGTCAATTAAAATGAATGTAATTTTCAAGAAACTTATGAAAATATAAATTGAAACTGAATAAAATGTCTTTGAAACTGAAAAAAAATTAAATGCAGGCAAAATCCTGAGTGGCGGGAAAAACTATAATGGGAAGATGTCCGATTGTTCTGTCGGGCCTGCCCACTGCCCCAAAAGTGGGAGCCTTGGAGGCCGTCATAAACGGGCCATGCTCGCATGACCCTTGGGCTTTTTCTCGAACTCTGAAGGCTGGAATGCGCAGAGTATCCGAGGAGGTGCTTGTCGTAAGGACTCGATCTAAAACTGCCCGAGGCGCAATATGCGGCGGGACCGTCAAGATCGGAGTCGGGAGGCCACAGCGAGAGAGTCGAATACGCTTGTGCGGTTCGTACACTCTCTCTAAAGGAGGGCCTGGCCTCCGAAGACGAGCAGAGGAATCAGGAACTGCTATTAGGGGCCTGAGGACGAGAGGTCTTGGCCGTCGAACTCAGGTCTAACCGCTTGCGTTGTCGTGTGTAAGCCGGTGGGCGAGACCTAGGACCTCAGTCCTTACGAGGGGGTAACCTAGGCGATGACTCATGCCGCTGGACCTCGCGGTGCTGTAAAGACGAAGAGCGTGAACGAGCCGCAGGTGGCTGATGCTCCACTTCCCTAGCCCTGCGAGGGATAAGTTGACGGAACGCAGCGGACTGCTGATTCGCTG